GGGTTTAAGCACTTTTTGGTGGCTTGAGACATCACTGGAGGGGTTGCATGGAGAAAAGGTTGGGAAAAAGGAGGTTGTTCTCACCTGCCCACCCAGTACGGAGGATGCGGGCTGCTTTCCTGCCCTCGGCTGCAGCGCAATTAATTGGCAATTACCAGCAGTCCATAAAGCACGGCCGTTCTTGGGGAGGAAGCTGTAAAACCGCGCGTCCTTGGCCGCATTTCCTTCACTCCTCATCGATCCCATGGCCTCGGGGCGCTGCACCCAGCCGACCCTCATCGATCCCGTGGGATTTCGGTGGGATGTGGGCAAACGGTGTGAGCACAGCCCTACGGACTCTGTGAGCAGCAGGTCCGGATCCCAGAGTCACTTTGTTTCCCTCTCCTTCTGTGCAAGTGCAATGCCATTATTGTGCAGGTACAACGCTGTGCAGGTGCGGTGCAATGCAGGCGCAGTGCTGTTCAGATGCAGAGCCGTGCAGGTGCGATGCTGTGCAGGTACTGCTCTGTTCAGATGCAGTGCTGTGAAGGTGCAATGCTTTATAGGTGTAATGCTATTCAGATGCAACGCTGTGCAGATGCAATGTTGTGCAGGCTTTGTGTTGTTCGGATGCAGTGCTGTGCAGGTGCAATGCTGTGCAGGTGCAATGCTGTGCAGATGCAATGCTGTGCAGGTGCAGTGCTGTGCAGGTGCAATGCTGTGCAGATGCAATGCTGTGCAGGTGCAATGCTGTGCAGATGCAACACTGTGCAGATGCAACACTGTGCAGATGCAATGCTGTTCAGATGCAATTCTCTGCAGGTGCAATGCTGTTCAGATGCAATGCTGTGCAGGTGCAATGCTGTGCAGGTGCAATGCTATTCAGATGCAACATTGTGCAGATGCAATGCTGTGCAGATGCAATTTGTGCAGGTGCAATACTGTTCAGATGCAATTCTCTGCAGGTGCAATGCTGGTCAGAGGCAACACTGTGCAGATGCAATGCTGTGCAGATGCAATTCTCTGCAGGTGCAATGCTGTTCAGATGAAACACTGTGCAGGTGCAATGCTATGCAGATGCAATTCTGTGCAGATGCAATTCTCTGCAGGTGCAATGTTGTTCAGATGCAATGCTGTGCAGGTGCAATGCTATTCAGATGCAACATTGTGCAGATGCAATGCTGTGCAGATGCAATTCTCTGCAGGTGCAATGCTGTGCAGGTGCAATGCTGGTCAGATGCAACACTGTGCAGATGCCATGCTATGCAGGTGCAATGCTGTTCAGGAGCAATGCTGTGCAGGTGCAACGCTGTTCAGATGCAATGCCCTTTGCAAAGCCCCTTTCTTGCAGAGCCCACCCTGCTGCTGCACGGCGTTGCCCGGTGACCCTGATGCTCGGAGCACGGGATGCACAGAAGACCCTGCAGCTCTGATGCATGGAGCTGCTCATGGAAAGCCACGTCCCACCCGTGTCACACTGCCCCCTACACCAGGCCCACCTTTCCCAGGGGCGTGCACTGATCTCATTACAACAGGAGCTGGGAAGTGGCTGCATTTCCACCCCGCTGCTCTCGGTTACGGCAGCGAAAGGGGAGCCAATTACCAGCAGCTGGTGAGAGCCTCAAATTATTATTAATTTCAAACAAAGCATATGCTTTGTGTTAACAATCCTCCGCCGTGTGGCAGAAGGGCCAACGCCATCCAGATGGCTTCGACGTGCTGTGGGAATGAGTAATGTGCAGCTCTGCCACTGCACCATGCGGGGATGGGGAGAGGGGGGTGAGCAGCGTGGTGAGGGGTCACAGGCAGCAGCCGTGGCCAAAAATCCCTGTGCGTGGCAGCTGGCAGCCTGCAGGCACTGCTGCGTGCAGGGCAGGGATGCTGGTGGTCCTATGGGGATGCTGGCAGCCCTATGGGGTGGGATACTGGTGGTTCTATGGGGATTTATGCTGGTTACTCCATAGGGATGCTGGTGGTCTTATGGGAGGGATGCTGGAATCCTATAGGGTTTCTGGTGGTCCCATGGGAAGGGATGCTGGTGGTCCTATGAGGATGTATGCTGGTGACCCCATAGGTGTGTTGGTGCTCTCAAGGGAGGGATGCTGGGATCCTATAGGGTTTCTGGTGGTCCTATAGGGAGGGATGCTGACAGTCCTATGGGGACATATGCTGGTTACCCCATAGGGATGCTGGTGTTCCTATGGAGAGGAAAGATGGTGACACCGTAAGGGTGCTGGTGGTCTTATGGGAGAGATGCTGGGATCCTATAGGGTTTCTGGTGGTCCTATGGGGTGGGATGCATGTGATCCTATGGGGAGGGATGCTGGTTACCCAATAGGGATGCTGGTGGTCCTATGGGGAGGGATGGTGAAGGCTCTCATGAGCAGAAAGCCATGCAGGATTGATGTTGGAGGGAATCAACGATGTCCCTTTTCCTCCCACACCCTGGCAGAGGGTTTGCACAAACCTGACCCACCCACAAACCCTTTCACACACACATTGCAGCCACGGGGAGAAGCAGAGCTGAACTCACAGAGGAATGGCACAGAGAGGCATTAAGGCAGAGCTCAGAGCAGCGTTTCCATCCAAAGCTGCAGGTAGCAAAACAAAGGGTGGCTCTATTTCCTCCCATCGTTGGGAACTCACCTGGGCAGGTCTCCCCGACCCCCCCCTGTGTGTCATTGCCACATCCATGGGGACACAGCAAGGCTGTGACAGTGGCTTTAGGGGTGATGGTGACAACGGAGCTGCTCAAAATCCCACACCCAGAATTGGGAGAGGAGCATCTCTGGGAGGAAAGGGGTAAAAATAGCTCTGTGTCAGTGAGAGCAGCAGGGGGGGGAAAAAAGGGAGGGCAGCCAGGGGCTCCGCGAGG